CAACGAATACGTCTTTTTTGAGATATTCAATTTCAAGAAAATATTGAATAGCTCTAGGACAGGCGCAAAATCCGAGGTTACTTGTAAATTCAATATCGCGAGAAAGACATGTTCTTTGTCGTTGAGACTTGCACAGAATTCTACGAATAGTTAGACTTATCTGCTGGTAAAGTTTGAGATAAAAAATAACTGGGCATCCATCGAAAATTCAGTAAAAAGGCCATAACTTTTTACTAGCAGGTCATGGATCTGAATCTTTTTTAAGCTTTCTTAATCCAATCGAGGCCTACTATGAATGATAATACGGAGTCGTAACTTGCGAGGCAATTCGGGGTTCCCTCGTAAGATCGAATTTTAATTCTCACCTGTTGCTTCTGGCCAATATCTTCGGACATAAGCGGTGCTACAAATAGAATAGGTATATTTGAACCAGGTACAGATTGTCGACGTAATTCGTTTAGGATTTGTTCATCCAATTCAAGAATCGAATTGCAAATAAGTCCTTTGGCAAGAGGAATTGTTTCATGCATTTGACGGTCAAAATTGTACTCTGATTCATTGCTTATGACCTTGTTCATTGATATCTTGATATAGCGCATAAAAGCCATCAGGCTGTTAGGGACGAAAAGATAAGTCATGATATTCCGTTTATAAGCTTCCCGAACGGGTGGCAAAATAAATAGGTCGGAAATGATCAAATCAATAGGGTGGCCGATCGGACGGGTCGCTAACAAGACAGATGAAGAGGAAGCGGGCGAGAACAATGGAATAGATGCAGGAAATAGTAGCTGTAGGAGTGGTTCACGCATACGATCGAGTATTGATTGAATTTGAATAGTTGTACCTGTACTGGTAACCTTCAAAAGTGATTTGCTTTGCCCTTATTCAATTACTTGAGAGAATATGTCTGTTGATTCACAGCGGCACTTTACCTTTACTTTACTAGTAAATAGCATATAAAGTATTTACTATTTATCATAATATAGTAAATAGAGTATTCTCTTTCCTGCGAGAAACAGTCTCCTATTATTAATTGATGTTCCACTAGACAATCTTATTGGCCCAGAAATGACCAATCAGAAAACAAATTCGGTGCTCTTCAGAGAATCGTTTGATTTTCTCAATTACAAGACGACGCCGAAAAAATCGTATTGGCTGGAAACGCATCGAGAAACCATGTGCATTGGATGAAAAAACATATGGGCTTTTTTGCAATTGATTATTTTTTGGATCAATAAAATTGTGTAGTGAAACATCAATTCATGATGGGAGACTGTTTCCTGCAGAAAAGAGAATACTTTAATTACTATATTCTACGTAGTAAATATTATAGTGAACAAAATTTTTTGGACAATTTTGTTGAGCGTATAGCATTCTTATGAAGCTAGCTTTTGAGGCGTAGCTTGCATCGGCATTAAAGACGGCGCCTATGTTATATCCATAGAAAATTCTACCGTTAAATGTTGAATCATAGCGGAAACTGGGCATGTAACAATCAGAAACAGTCAATTTTGATGGGAAAAATTTATTGGAGAATTTTTCAAATTGAGTCATTTTTTCCAAAATGCTTGTAATGCATTGAATTCATACCAAGGAAAAGAGGAGAAGACGAGCTACATTTTAACAACTAGAAACTTTTGAAATCAACTTTTATATGAAATAAGCATGGTTACTTTATGGAAAATTTGGCATGGTATTACGTGAACTCTTTATCTTTGTCTGATAGAGATTAAATTATTTTTTGAAGCGTGCTATACGAACAGATGTCAAATGCTCTATAATTCTGAAGACATTCTAGACTTTGAGTAATCAACCTTAATCGCTTTTCGGACTCCTTTCTTGCAAATGCCGTCAAATATTGCTGTCTATAAAGGTTTTGGCTTGCATCACAAGTACTGTATGTCGATAAAAACTAAACACCTTTTTTGAAATCGAAAGTGGAAATGGAATCTGTGTATGTACTAAAAATATTTCATTGAAAATTTGGTTTCAAGCTTGTGATAGCTCTGTGACATATCTTCATCTAAATTTTTTTTAAACATGGTTTTATATTTCCTAGCATTTGAAATAATCCAGTACTTTTTGTTCATGCTGTCGTCTTGTATTGTAGTTCACTGTGGATGTTCAGTATAGATAACTTCTATATGTCGTTCATGTTCTTTCACTTTCGTATATTCTCACACGTAGTTTCTCTATCTTTCTTTTTGGAAACAGCTCGGAGCTAATCATTATTCAGCTTCATTTCTCTTTTCGTCATTGGCATAGGTGTAGCTAGTGTTTCGCTTGATATTCTGCCGGTTTGTAAGTGCTTTCACGTTATATCCGATATTTTCGTTTTCAATATTAGTCTTAAGAGGTTTAATGAAACAATAACTAATTGACTTGTGCAGAATCTCTTGTATTCGACGTATTGAACAGAATCAACAGTGTGCCATGTCAAAAAAGAAAAAAATATTACACTGAAGACTTTAGAAATTTAATTATTAAACATTATTAGAATGGGAAGTCATTGGCAACAATTGGTCAATTACTTTTCATGCCAAAATCATCCGTTCATTTCATTGTATCAAAATTTAAGAAAATGGAAAAGGTGAAAAATATTGGGTTACCGAGAGGATGGAAGTGCGCAAGAACAAAAGTGTGTCGGTATGGGTGTCAATCTACTCTGAATGAACACCCACACCCAACCGAGCTCTTTCTAACCATATAGTACTCGATTGGATTCAACCAAACATTTCAAATTGGGCCTATTCGGCTTCTTATCCACCCGAACCTTTTAAACAAAGGATAGTCACAGACCAGGAATGCAAATCTGGGCTTAGATTTCGACTTTAATAATTTCTTAACGACAAAATATTAATATTCTCAAAATTTTCTAAAATGCTTGACATATGATACATAACACATCGCTCTGTATATGCATCCAAGCATGTTCAGGTCATTTCTTCCAGACACCCTTGGGGAATGTGTTCCAAATTAATCAGTACTTCGAGGCAACCTCAGGCAGAGCTATACTCGCTGTTTTGTATAGCATTTCTAATAATTAATAATTAATGCAGCGCGATTACTCTTATGTCAAGTTCTGGGAAATATTAAAAAATGTCAACGAACTATGAGGTGTCTTTGACCCTTTAGATCCGTACTATTTCATTTTTAAATCGACTTCTCTTACGGAGATCGATTTAAATACGAAATCAAATTCACTATTCAGTAGTTTTGATCACCAAACTAATTAATTGTGCTGCGTTTGTTGTCAATTTTTCGTATACTCTAGGACTTTCATATGTGTGCCGCCAAGACATCGTTTCAAGTCGATAATATATCAGAATTTTAGATTTTTTATGGCAATTTTGGTACGTTTAGTGAGGGAATCATGCACCAAAATCACGGGTTGGGAATAGAGTGGCTCAACTTTTAGGTTAGAAAGTGTTTAAAACAGTAGAACAATTTTTGGCTTGATGATTGAAAGTTTTTTTTTTTATTTCTCTAAGATTGGCTACAATCAACTTGCGAATTTTTAACTCACAATTCGGTGTCGTTAAATCGTGAACAGCGAGTTTGCCTAACAATGCTCTTCGTCCAATATTCTCCTTTGGAAATTACGAAAGAGTAACTTCTATAGTTCTTGCCATAAATATATTACAACTAATATCATTCTGTTTAAAAGATTTTTATTAAGGTGGAAAATACTGAAACCTAACTAAGAAATATTCAAGGAAATATCTATCAAAAGTACTACATCTAGAATACATTCAGTCGGGTTTCAATTAGAAGAGAGATATCTATTTGTCTGGTTTTCTTTTAATTAATTTGATAATAAGAACACTACTTTTTCACGGTAAAATAATACCAGCCCAATTCACTGTGCGAGTAAACTTACTTCATAATCTTCATCATTGCCATCAAACAAACCGATGATCTCTAAACTTGACTGAGTCGAACCGCTGTTTTCGTTCTCGTATTCGTCAAGAAATCCACGCTGTTTAAGCGCATCGAGTTTTGATGCCGATACAACATAAGTAACGTGATGATGTAGGGATAAACGTTTAGCGAAATCCAATAATGGAATCATATGACCGAAGAAAGGTGATGCTATTAATACTAAGTGACCAACGTTTCTCGTTTCGTTATGGGTGTCTGCCACAGAACAGAGCAATGTTGATGCATGAAGAAGAACGAAAAGCAAAAGCATGACGCATTCAATGCACAACATGACGGTGAGAAGTGACCGCTCTTTTTACTTCGTGTTGTTATATCGCAAATCGTAATCTATAGAAAATAAGAAGTATACTTATCCTGATAATCGACAATATGTGAGATTATGAGCGGGACATTTACTTTATTTTTGACAAAGTAGATAAGTAATGTAAATAAATTTTCCTTATTTACTAGTAAATAGTAAATATAGTAAGGTGCAAATAATGCAAAATTCGAGCAGACTTTAAAACGTATTTTACCATATACTAATCGAATTAGTATTTTTTTCATTCAGCGTTAAAAAGTGAATTGAAAACGGTTTAAAAACTATTAAAAGGAAATCGACCAATTAGATGAATTCGCATGAGTCATTAGATTGCCCATCCATTCTAATGTCATTAGATCCGCCATTTATTGTAGAAGAAAGTTAGGATTCGATTTTTTCAAAATCCTTCTTTGTTCTTGAGAAAAATGGCTTTTTGTGAAAGCCATGTGAGAAATGGTTTTTTATTTTCGTTCGCAACACCGAAATTTCGATAAGCATTGTACAAGCGAAGAAGAAGAAAATACGATAATAAATCCTGACGAAGAGCTTGAATCAATAAATTTTATGGACAAAAGTGTAGTGAACGACATTGCTGAGTTATTCGAATTGTGCCGGTCTAAATGCCATTGAAAAACTCTCCGTGTTTTATTATATATGACTATGCGATATTTTTAAGTCACCTGGAGCACTCACAAGTGAAACGGCACATAAATGGACGGGAACTTTTGTTTCTCAAGACCTTGGGGAGTTTTGTGGTGAAAATCGTAGAGGCAAACATAGCAATGATTTGTATGATTATTTATTGAATTAGAAACGGATGATGTGGTGGTGTGGGTATGGGTGTGGGGTGTGACTGTGGGTGAGAGGAGAAGAAATCATCACACCCACACCCACACCCACACCCACACCCACACCCACACCCACACCCACACCCACACCCACACCCACACCCACACCCAC